CAGTAGTAGGAGAGTTGGTAGGACAGTAGGTAGGACAGTGGGTAGGACAGTAGTTAGGACAGTGGTAGGACAGTAGTGGGAGAGTTGGTAGGACAGTGGTAAGACAGTGGGTAGGACTGGGTAGGACAGTAGGTAGGACAGTGGGTAGGATAGTAGGTAGGACAGTGTTAAGACAGTGGGTAGGACTTGGTAGGACGGTAGGTGGGGCAATGGGTAGGACTGGGTAGGACAGTAGGTAAGACAGTGGGTAGGACCGGGTAGGACAGTAAGTAGGACAGCGGTAAGACAGTAGGTAGGACTTGATAGGACAGTAGGTAGGACAGTGGGTAGGACAGTAGGTAGTACAGTGGTAAGACAGTGGGTAGGACTGGGTAGGACAGTAGGTAGAACAGTAGGTAGGACAGTGGTAAGACAGTGGGTAGGACTGGGTAGGACAGTAGGTAGGACAGTGGTGGGACAGTAGGTAGGACAGTGGTAGGACAGTGGGTAGAACATTAGGTAGGACAGCGGTAGGACAGGAGGTAGGACAGTGGTTGGACTGTGGGTAGGACAGTGTTAGGATAGATGGTAGGACAGTAGGTAGGACAGATGGTAGGACAGTGTTAGGACAGCAGGTAGGACAGTGGTGGGACAGTAGGTAGGACAGTGGTAGGACAGTGGGTAGAACATTAGGTAGGACAGCGGTAGGACAGGAGGTAGGACAGTGGTTGGACTGTGAGTCGGACAGTGGTAGGCCAGTAGGTAGGACAGTGGTAGGACAGTGGTAAGACAGTGGGTAGGACTGGGTAGGACAGTAGGTAGAACAGTAGGTAGGACAGTGGTAAGACAGTGGGTAGGACTGGGTAGGACAGTAGGTAGGACAGTGGTGGGACAGTAGGTAGGACAGTGGTAGGACAGTGGGTAGAACATTAGGTAGGACAGCGGTAGGACAGGAGGTAGGACAGTGGTTGGACTGTGAGTCGGACAGTGGTAGGCCAGTAGGTAGGACAGTGGTAGGACAGTGGTAAGACAGTGGGTAGGACAGTGTTAGGATAGATGGTAGGACAGTAGGTAGGACAGATGGTAGGACAGTGTTAGGACAGCAGGTAGGACAGTGGTGGGACAGTAGGTAGGACAGTGGTAGGACAGTGGGTAGAACATTAGGTAGGACAGCGGTAGGACAGGAGGTAGGACAGTGGTAGGACAGTGGTAAGACAGTGGGTAGGACAGTGTTAGGATAGATGTTTGGACAGTAGGTAGGACAGATGGTAGGACAGTGTTAGGACAGCAGGTAGGACAGTGGTAGGACAGTAAAGGTATGACAGTGGGTAGGACAGTGTTAGGACAGCAGGTAGGACAGTGGAAGAACAGTAGGCAGGCCAGTGGTAAGACAGTGGTAGGACAGTGGGTGGGGCAGTAGGTAGGACAGAAGGTAGGACAGTGGTAGGACAGTGGGTAGGGCAGTAGGTAGGACAGTGGTTGGACTGTAAGTGGGACAGTGGTAGGACAGTTGTAGGACAGTAGGTAGGACAGTGGTAGGACAGTGGTAAGACAGTGGGTAGGACAGTGTTATGGTAGATGGTAGGACAGTAGGTAGGACAGTGGGAAGGACAGTGTTAGGACGGCAGGTAATATAGTGGTAGGACAGTAGGGTAGGACAGTGGTAGGACAGTGGTAGGACAGTAGGGTAGGACAGTGTTAGGACAGTAGGGTAGGACAGTGGGCAGGACATTGTTAGGATAGATGGTAGGACAGTAGGTAGGTCAGTGGGTAGGACAGTGTAAGGACAGCAGGTAGGACAGTGGTGGCACAGTAGGTAGGACAGTAGGTAGGACAGTGGTGGGACTGGGTAGGACAGTGGTGGGACAGCAGGTAGGACAGTGGTAGGACAGTCAGTGTCTTCTGTGTATTCGGATATATTTAAAGAACATTATTGATTCTTTTGGACGTAATGGAAGCAAGGTTGTTGAGTTGTCCAAGACGCCACATTTCGTGGTGCAGTGTTGCGGTCCTTGGACGTTGCAAAATCCTATTAATGTGAGTTCGAATTCAAGGTTCTCCCGAATTATTGTTGGTATGTCTGCACCGTGGTCATTGGTAGGTAGTAAACATCCAGGACCTGCGTCGTCCATTGCGCTGGCACGTGATATGAAATACATCATATGTTCGAAGCGGCGTTAAACCAACTCACTCACTGGCTCACTCTCACACACAAACAGCAGTATTACACGTTTTTTTCCTGAACTAGGTTTATGTGCACAAAGCGATCTCAGCGCTACTCCAATACTTCAACACTAACTAACGATATGCTACTGCTAAGATCGCTTTGTGGAAGTGGATCCAGGATATATCGAATCTGTCCGAATAAATGTTCCACACACACGCATGACCCATTATATCCCATTCCTGATTTCAGGAGACTCCTAAAGCTTTACCAATTATAACTTATGGAAGTGGCAGGGTTCCACACGCCGTGAAACAACACAGAATCTCATCCATACGCATCGATACGAAGAATCTATCGCAATGTCCCAAGGTTTGAGCACGAAGCAGACACCGAGTTTCTATTCTATGTACTCTTAATAGCCTTATGTTTAACAACATAGTCATGATAATGTATTTTTTGTCACTGCTTCAAAACACGCAATTTGTTTCTGTTAAGGAAGAGACCATTTTTTACACACATTTCATCTTTCAGGATATCATGTATGCCTAGCGTATAATAATATTTTTGTGGTAAAAAGGGGGAACGATTATTTTTGTGGAACAAATTATTTTTTTCAAACATATCCAACCACTACCCCGTCACCCTGACCACTACTTACAACCACACCACAACCCACCCCCTCCCCTACCAAATGGTCGGTCCACTAACTGTGTCCAGTATTGGCGCAGTAGTACGCATTTACGTAACAAGTCCTGCCTGAAATGACGCGTGAATTTGATATATTACACATACAAGGCTAGATTCAAATTTAACTCAGACTTCTATCTCCAATAGTTATGTATGTTTACCCTACTACCTGGCTGGGTGAGTACGAGGCAGTTAAGGCACTGCAGACTGCACTACATTCACATCCAGGGTACCGTGCCTGTTATTTACATTGTCATAGATAACCATAGCGGCGCTGAGCAGAGCTGAGTGTATATTTACTTATATAATTTCTCGCCATCCCCACTGTGCCTGGGTAACCATCACTGTCAATAGGTGTTATCTTGTCACCAGAACGTGAAAATAACTTATGAAAGGATGTCAATAAACTAACAACCCCTCGCCTTCGTATCACACGGAAAGATGTTTACCCTATATAAATATAGTAGATGGTGGAGATACGAGGACGGCAATGTGAGAAAGTTAAGGCGCGTGTTTGGTGCTGTGACATGAGGCAGGAGCTCCGGGAGTTGTTGATAGAAAGCGTGTCCCTGTCGATGAGCCATTTATGGCCTTCTCACCACTGGCAGTCCTCGGGGGAGAAGGGGAGTCACACCACTATTTGCAGTCAGCTCGACCACTGTTTGCAAGAAGTGAATGAATGTTTAATTAGAAAATATTATTTCCAATAACTATCCCACGACATCACTGGCCAGTCACGTACACCAAAATTGTAACAGTTGACCTCATAATCGTCGTGGTTTTAGGATACAACTTTTATACATTTCCAATATTGTTACAATCATTTCTTCTCTGACTAAATAAAAGATATTTCGAGTTGCTAATGAAACTCGTGTCGTCATCCTTTTGGGTGATGATGCATTCTTAACATTTCATGACAAAAATTGGAGGAGAAGGCCTCAATAAGAGAACACAACTTGACATTAAAATTCCGAGATATGAAACAGCCATATTATTTATCGCAGGTTATAAAATACATATTTTCGGCTGATTTCCTGTTCTTGGGTTATTTGGATTATGGCACAGGTGTCCATTTTCATATACATTACGATTTTGTTGTCGTTCGTTACCATAGTAACAAGCAGCAACTGTACTATTTGCGGTTTATTGGCCACTTCGGTAAAGACAAAAGCTAATTCCATGCAGAGCAGATTGAGACCAGAGAGGCAGTCTGGAACGCATCAGCAATTCCTTCAAAGATGAGTGTATTATTAATATTCCACTTCAATCATTGTTAGTTACAAAAATGCTGCAACTCATGTCACTCAATCATGTGTACCGGGCTATTTCCATCCTTTACTGCACATCCTGTCAATCAGCTGGATTTATGTATCATTATCAATCCAAGCAATGCTCATTTCATTTCTCGTGGATAGACATACCCGGCGTTGAAAGCTATTTGTAGATAATGATAGTTCAGTACATAATTGGGAGGCGATTGACTCTTGGCTTCCCATTCCGTCTTCAGGCACTTTGATCATGACCATGTGCTTGTGAAATTGATTTAGGTTCATCATTCTTCTCGTCTTATCTTTGTCCGACGAGTGTTCGCACAGTCTTATCATTTACGTTTGATATCACGTTTATTGAATCAAGGCTGTTAACTGGAAACTTTAACCATGAACCAAGAATGAACGTGTATCACTTTGGATGAGTCCCTTCCCATGTGATGCTATCATGAGGGATTGGAATGGTGTTGTTTAGGATTGTTTACCCACTCCAGATGCAACAGAATTACCTTTCACGATTCTGAAGTGGTGACAATCAAATCCTATCCCACTCATTGGAAATTTAACCATGATGTGATCAACACAAACCCAGGTCTTAACTTGGAAACATCCACTTTGAATTACCAGGATTGTTGCTCAGATTCTATTTCTAACCCAGCCTGTCTTTAATTTGTAAAAATATATGTTCCGACATTATATCAATACGTGTTCTTGAAAGATACAAGTTCATGTGGAAGAAACGAGAGGCGAGTCACGAAAGCAGAGTAAAACGTAGTTATTGAAGCACATGATGGCCTGATTGACCAGCTATAATAAAATATGAAATGTCATCGAGTCTTCATCCGATCCTTTCACCGACGAAATGACATTTAACTGATGTGTTTATTTCTTATCACAAGGCTATTGGAGTCAGAAAGAGAGCTGAGGAAGCTGTTTCCAAAGATCGTTTGCTATGACAACGTCGAACGCTTCACTGTAGACGAAGAGCATCTCCGACGTCATGCACTGCTTGTGATGGACGGCATCGGCTTTGCTGTCGAATGCCTCGACGACGTTGGGAAACTGGACCACTTTCTGACAATGGTCGGTAAACGTCATTACGAGTCTCGGGTTCCCGAGCGCGTGTTGAAGGTACGACAGAAACACCAGATCTCCCAAACTCATGCGTGTTTTGTGTGTTAGAACATTATATTCAATATGATGCTATTTGTTTAGCAGTGAAAACCTGATGACCCTCAGTCAAAGATTTAAGGAATGAACCAGCCAAATGTGGTAGAGTAGGAAAGGATTATGATTCATTTGCTTTTGTTTTTTGTTAACATGCCAAATATTCTTTTCTCATTTCACTGTGCTAAAATACACCGAATGCAGACATTAAGTGTTTTGGTCCAGATGCGTAAAACGGTAAGGGACTATGATAATGCACAAATGATACGATGATGTGAGATCAAGTCAAATATAACGACTCCGACACACAGACAACGCAAAGAAATATAATATTATATCCTCATAATGTGCGGAAGTTTGCTGATAAAAGATATGCCAATATAATGTCCCTGAACTTCGTTGTTGTCAGCGATGACATGAGGTAACAAAATACAGGTCTTTGTGCTGGTCTGGCAGCTTCTCTCCAGAAAGAATAACGCGGCAAGAAGCATGGAGTCCAGGTTTTCCAGACATGTGAACGCAGATTCCTTCATTTCGAAAAAACAAAACTGAAATCGATATTTCTTTGCCGTTCTATTAACTCATATTGTGATAAAAATACAGAGGCCACAACGGCAAGCAATGACTGACTGCGATGCGGATGTATGTAATTGGTTGCAGAAGCGCCAGGCAGAGAGTTCACGCATAGGTCTGATGTGAAGCGGGCAGAAAACAGTGCTTGCTTGAATACCTCCATAATGACTGACTCATATGCCAGATGCCGATTTGTTAGTAATTCACAACCTGGGTATGTCGTATGAAATAGAAAGTTCAATATAAAACATTATGCGAGCGGTTCAAAAGATGGTAAATGAATTCCGACAAGTATCCCAATTTATGAAAGAAATGTAGGTGAGCGGGAAATGGAGTGGCCTGAGGCACCACTCTATATTTTTTAGCATAACGTTCTCAAGCACTTAACGCGTATTAGATTATGCGTAAAGGTTTATGAATTTTAGTCAACATTACTTTGTTTGTTTGTAGCTTCAGGCCGCACTCAGCAGTAGTCCAGCTATTTAGCGGTGGCCTGTAAGTAATCGAGTCTGTACCAGAAAATACAGTGATTGATGTTGAACGCGACGATCCACGCCCTCAACTATTTCTGCGATATATTCCGTAATCCGTTTTATGTTTCAGTAAAGTCGTAATACAGTTATCAGACTTACTGTAATAACATCAAAACAAAGTTATCAGAAATGGCGTAATAACGAAATCAGACATGGCGTAATAACGCTGTCAGAATTGGCGTAATATCGTTGTCAGAAATGGCCAAATAACGGTATCAGACATGGCGAAAAATACGGTATCAGAAAGTTTAACACAAACGGCGAAAGAACGATATAAGAAAGGGTGTAATATTTACCGAATGAACTTCTTCTAAATAAATTGTTTTCTCTAAATATGAGCGATTCCTGCAAATCCGTATATACACTTCAATAAATATTTCACAGGGTACTTACGGTTAAGTATATCTATCACGGCTCTTGGAGCATAAAATTGAGAACGGTAATCTCGTAATAAAGATCTACAGTTGATAATGGTAATGCCATGCTACCTCCATTAAACTGAAGCATGGCGACGGATATAACAACGTAGACCATTAGATGAAGAGTGCCAATATTCAGTGGTAGATACTCGATTAAGGTAGATGGCAGAAGGAACGCTGGTAGTCGTCAGAATAATGTCGCCGTCTCTGGAAACCCGACTACTCACCACCTGAGCACGTTTTTCACCTATAAATGTATTTCAACGTTTCTGATAATTTACTTTGAGGTCGTAACATAGGACTGACAAAGAGAATTGTAATGAATATAGCTGACAGTGTCCTTAAACAGTTAGGATTTGCACAAGCCCATAAATAACCCATTGATTGCAACGCAAAGGGCGGACATCAAACATGAGCTTTTTCCCAACGCGGTAGCGACGTCATTCGCCGGTTTCGGTACGGCTTTGAACTTGAAGTTTATCAAATTATGAGTGGCTGCCATTAAGGCGACTCAACACCTTGCTTGGTATTGATGTCGTAAAAATGAGGTTGAATGCAACGTTGATTGAGCAGTGGCGAAATCACACAGGACTATCAAGCACATAGTTATCGCGATTTTTTATTAATTGTTCTTTCTTAATCTTACATCGTAGCTATAATTCATACAATATACAACTGATGAAAAACCCGATGCGGAAATATCCATGGACTCACGAACATCGTCATAAAGACATCAGATTCATGACTCAAATATTGAACCTCACGATCGACTTCTTGTCTGCAATGAAAACTGCAGCCATCGACTTAAGTTCTTTGAATTCGAAATTGCATGGTCCGTAACATCGTTAAGAACCGACTGATCCAAAGAACCAAGTCGTTATTAACACGGGGTCTATGCATAACAACGTGAGTACTTGGATTACGCCTTTACCAATAACAATCCAAGCATCTTTCATTATATAACCATCCTTACCAATTACTTCATACAGAACATCCCACCGGGAGACTGGAGGTCTTCTGGCATCACATTTACATAAGATGAGGTGAGATAGGATGAGATCATTTCTATTGTACATGTACACCCACTGAGGGCCGCGTACGAAACAGCTAAAATGTAAAGCTTAAAATAACAAGGACATCATCATCATCATCATCATCATCATCATAATGATAATAATAATAATGATGATGATGATGATGATAATTACCGTGGTTGAACCTTGGAAGAGTGGTAATTATATATAATTATATATATACGTGTGTGTTATTACAGGCTATTATAGTAGCACATTTTTATTACTTTTTGAAATATATATCAGAAAACACCGTAGGAGAAATGAGCGTTATCTTTAATTTCTCAATATCTCTATGAATGGTGGTATTTCGCCCAACGGGCTGTATTAATGTTCACGGAGGCTATGGGGATTATAAGTTAAAAGCGTCGCCATTTTGTTTCCCCAGAAGAAGTTTGTGAGTTATATTTTCCGCTTTATGAAAAGTTGCTGTTTTGCAGATGTTAGTAAATCTTTGATGCGATAATGTAACTATTTAATTTTGAGGAAATTATCATCTATGTTGTTAATCCTGTTCACCTGAACGTAGCGACAAAATCAGTTCCATATTCATAAGAGTCCATATTATCTGACTATATCATACGCATTTTATACATAACAAACAAATAGTGACGATGCCAGGTATTCGCTAAAGGTGGGCGTATCCTGCCCTACCGGTAGAAGCCGTCACAAACACATGCAAAGGCAAGTTTACTGAAGAAACACGGGAACATAAAAATAGAAACATTCATCGGACGTCATTTTAATAACTGATGCATCCAATGTCCGTCTCGTGTGATGCTGCTCTTTGAAATCTTTGTAAAAAAACATACTCCATTGTAACTCAAAAGTTGTAAAATGTAGACACCAAAGGCTGGAGCTTTGGGAATATTCTCGACATAAAGGGACAGCCAAGTAATGAGCGTGTAAATCTCATGAATCCATGGACGTCATGGGTTGATCTCATGAGCTTGCCTGACACTGCAGAATGTTTAAGTATACTATTGATGATTATTTATTCGGAGATAATATGTGTGCATAATTGCTTAGATATTCATAGAAAGAGACATCTGACCAAGTTCACCCACACATCCAATGTTGTTTGTAAGTCTTGTAAGTTCATAGAATCTTATTGTGCAGCAACGCTCTGTCCGGACAGGGTACACAAGTAGGACAGTTATATGGCACAGTTTGGCGAAACATGGCAAATGTTTATACACATCATTAATGCATGAAAACAAGATGAAAAGCATGACATAGCGTGGACAATTCTAAGGTTGTTTACAATGGGCATCAGTGTATATATGAAGATAGCTGTTTCTGATTATAATTATTCAACAGATGTAAATAAGAGATAATGTCTAAGAGATTGACTTTTTTTCTGTTAAGTCTGTGCCTATCATTTGATAAAATCATATATTTCATGTGTCGAGTGAAATATCTCCTTAACTTACAGTTTATAACGAAACATTTTCAACAGAATAACAAACGGCAGCGACTTTAACAATCTCTCATTAGTTTGCCTTGTCAATGTGGAACTAAGGTGAAAAGTCAAGAGTTTGAGAAGGAGCTAGACATTGACGATGGTAAATCCCGCAATTCTAAATCTATTTAACTATGACAAAAGTTCCGTCCAAATGTTTCGATCAATGCAGTGAAATATCAAGTGTTATGTTCACTGCTGTGAAATATCAAGTGTTATGTTCACTGCAATGAAACTATCACTTTTAACAACTTCAGAAATCTCAGTCTTTCACACGGAAGTATATCTATAATAAAAATAGATCACTTCATTTCGCCTTACTAAAACATTAACATGCTTTCTAGTTGAAAACCATTAACAGAAGCACAATCAAATAGTAAGCTACGGCCGTGCTACTTTGTCTATCACTAGTTGAGGTCAATAAAACTCCAACAGTAAAACGAACCTGACATGTACGGCCATAATGCCTTCTCCGCATCGTACCACAATGCTAAATCCAATCACTGCCCCCACGGTAGCGTAGATGTACAATGTATTCTTCCCAAAGGAGAACACTAAGTAAATTGAACAACGTGACAAATTCAAGGCTAAATTCTCATTGGAACCACTAAAACGCCGGACCTCTACAAGACCAATATGCTCTGTAAGAGCAAAAGTGGTTTTTTTAGAAGTTTTATTGCAACATAATTGTTTTTGATTTTTCCAGAAATTGTGGCCTGCGCTTGACGGGAGTTTTACGGCAACGTTAAGAGATACTTACTCGAGAGAAGCACGGAAGGCCTGGCATTTCTTCTTTCACTACATGGTCAATGTGATGAAGATTGGGATGAATGAAGCGGAGATGAGAGATGTGTCAAGAAGGGGCAGAAAACTGAGTGACTGACACCGCTGCTCCTGATGTACGCAGCGTCTCCAAGTTCATCTCAGAACATCGCTGTAAACTGACACTAACAGCCAACACCCTATATTAAAAGCTTATAAACTCCCTTTTTTACCCAATACTCTTGGTCTGTTGCTTTATAATGTTGACTATATCCAGCTTAAGTTTTTTATAAAATAGATCGAGTTTGATTCAATTAAGAGGCAGATATTCCTCAATTATGTGCAAGCCAACTAAACATACCAAAGCGTGCCAATTCGTCTTGTTAAGTAATCTATGAATATCAAGGATGTAGGAAAGTTGCACCTGGTTATATTTTCTCTATCGAGTCTTGATGCTGGCTCACGTCTGAGAACGGGACCATCGTTCAGATTGTTTAACTAATAGCCCTATGCATCCATCATATATTCTGGTGACACAGAGACCACATTCACCTGTGCTTAAGACATAATAACAAAGACAATACCTTTACACTCGTCCCTCTTATTGACTGTCGATATTATGCTTCAGAAATTGCTTTCTAAAGAATCCTAAAATACTCATTACAGTCTCGCCCATGCGTCGCTGCATTTACATTCCCTTTTCTTAACGACAGATAATGAGGTGTCATGACCACCCTCCTCCATCCAGCAGTGGACAAGCAGAGTACGGGAACCCTAAAACCGTATTGTTGTGAGACCGCTGTACGATTCGGACAGTATCACCAGGATCTGAATCACTATCAACTAGCGATGATACCGGGTGTACGTGACAAGGCGAGCGTATCCTGCCCCGGCGACTGCACCCTTCACAAACACATGCAAACATATACATACTTGATAAGGGCCAACGTAACATGTTACAAATTTTTATAAAGAATCACAAATAGTAAAGAACTCTTGTATTTTACGCAGGCAATATTTAAATCAAGAACAACTATATGGATATGAAGATTTTCCGATGTGTTCCTGAAAATAAATGGGCGAACAAAAATCCATAATGTACATTTTTTTTAAATGATTTTACTATACCACACAGTGAAGCAATATTTTCATAATGTAAAGGTTCACATGCACAAAACATATCCTATCTAGTGCATTTTCGTGTCTTGGTAGGAAGTAACTTGTTATTTTTAAAACTCCTTCCTTTCCACACGATCAACTTTACTGTTAATTGTGTTTTCCTGCTGAAGCCTCGACGGAAACATACCATGGCCCTCCCTCTATTGTTCATATCATGATAAGGCTAGCTATCAACTTCATTTCGCAATTCCTCTTATGCTTTTGTATGTCATGATATACAGTCGGAATCGTACAATTGACTTCTTAGGGTTATGGAAAGGCTTTTCTCGCTTTTATTCACACCTTCATCTAAGTCAAAAAGCAGATTATACTTTTTTTTTATTTACAACTAACAGTATACTATAACTCCAAAAAACACATTACGTTCAGGTCAAGGCCCTACAATGGCAAATTAAGGAGGCGGTGTGATATAGGGTTTAGCGTATATATGCATGGATGTAACTAAGAATTATTAGAACCAATATTGTTCCACCGATGCCTTGTTGCACCACATCGCATGATATATAACTTATCGCATCCTGAGGTAGACATCATGTCTGTGCAGGTCAACGTTTTGATTTGAATCTATAAAGTCTCCGAACCTCATGTTACACTGTATGATGTACACCGCCTCCGTGGTCAAGTGGATAGACAGTCTGCTAGGAGAGTGGAAGGTCGGTTGTTTGTTTCCCGGCCGTGTCATAACAAAAGACGTTAAGAGATGGTACTTTTTGTTTCCCGACCTGGCGCTCGACAGTAAGTGGATAAAACAAGGACTGGTCTGCTCTGAGTCAGTATATTGTGTCTGAGTGGGCCAGCCACTGAGGTATCCATGTGTAACTTCGGCATGGAATTTCAGTGGATTAGATTTCTACAAACGGCATTAGTCCGGACTTGCACAAACAGAAACACACATAATCTTATCTTCAGCAACCCATGCTTGTCGTAAGAGGCTCGCTGACCTGGTTGATTTATGTAATCGTATCCCAATTGCCTGGATCGATGCTCACGACATCAATCACTGATTTGACTGGTCCAGACTCGATTATTTACAGACCGCCGTCACATAGATGGAATACTGCGGCGTTAAACAAGAAACATGAAATATACGTACAAGCTTTAAGCTGGCAGACAATAGTCTTATTTCAGAACACCTGGTTCCTTTGGCACCAATATCTGTTCAACCCAGGACTAGAGACATGATCACGATGCCATATGACGCAGGCAAGAACGTTCTTCTGATCAACGAGGTCTTCACGCAGACATGCATCTTTGATGGCATTCTTCAAGTGACTTCCAGTTGTTCTCGTTCCCTCCGCATGCTCCGGAGTAGAACTCCTCGCACTGCTTAGATGTAGTGTTGTAGAAGTAGTTGCGTAGGATAGCTCTGCAGATACCAAAGTCCAGGGGAAGCAGGCATTGATTCTCTGTAAAATAGACAAACTATGACAAAACATAAGCAATCAAACATAATGTTATCCATGCTCTGTTTCATTATTCCCCTTCTCCATGATTATGTCATACCTCAGGACAATTATTTAACATGATACGTCAAAGATCTGCTTGCTTGTTTGCTTGTTTGTTGTTTAACGCCACACTCAGCAATATTCCAGCTATATGACGGCGGTGTGTAAATAATCGAGTCTGGACCAGACAATCCAGTGATGGACATCACGAGCATCGATCCACGCAGTTGGGATACGATGACATGTATCAACCATATCAGCGAGTCTGACTACCCGATCCCGTTAGTCACCTCTTACGACAAGGTTACATTAACAGCACTGCGTATCATATCTCATATCGCGAACTTTTTCATACTGAAGTCCAGCTATTGATACAAAGCAAGTACAGTATGTGACGCAAGGTACAAACAAATGTTTAAGGAAAAGTGATGACGAGAATGCAAATCTGTATATGTAGTTATGACTTCAAACTATACTGCCGGGCAAAAGAAAGTATACAGCATGTTTGATTGTGGTTAAAAAAATCATTTGATTTAATTGATACGGGTGTCATCGTTGTGTCTTGAACCTTAGGTTGGCAGTGTCTCAGCGACTGTTATCAGCTAAGTTGGTTTTTTTGTTGTTTAACGCCGCACTCAGCAATATTCCAGCTATATGACGGCGGTCTGTAAATAATCGAGTCTGGATCAGACAATCCAGTGATTAATATCATGAGCATCGATCCACGCAATTGGGATCGATCACATGCATCAACCAAGTCAGCGAGCCTGACCACCCGATCCCGTTAGTCGCCTTTTACGACAAGCATAGTCACCTTTTACGGCAAGCATGGGTTGCTGAAGACCTATTCTACCCCGGAATCTACACGGGTCTTTTCAGCTAAGTAACGTTCGGGTAACGTTTGTAATTTTATGGTCAAATCCCGTTTTTCAAGTGTACAGTTCATATTCCCAGCAGTTTATATGTCGAACAAACACGTACTCACAACAACCCAGCCAGCATAGCTGTAGGCTTTTGTGGTTCCCTTCTACATGAAAATGTGGATGAGTCATTCATTAACTATTTAGGACGATAATCTAGCTATTTAAGGTCTCACGATCATGGTTTAATGCAGTCGATAAGCTTGTGTACCAAGTGCCGGCTGAGGCGATACAATAGTTATTATCGCCAGGGATATCGAACCTGATTATCACCAAGAAATGATAACACACATCTTGCGTAAACGGGACCATTATCCATAACGACTTTGTCAGAATAATAAAGAATGTCTTCACTTCATCTCGACAATAATTGAACGTGAAAGGTCCCTGATTCGTAATTTGATAAGGGTAAATTAAGGAAGAGTGGTCCCAGAGGACAACAGTGGTCAGGAGACACTAATGCCATGAACGCTTTAATCAGGATTGACACATGATAAATGCAATATGATATTGTATTAAATCAAACACAAGGCTGAGAGCTGAAAGTGTCTGAATTAAAACCGAGCGAAACAGGATCTCACGCCATTTCCTATGTTCAGACCAACTTGTTTTGCCTTAGGCATTATTCCAAAAGACACTTAGGTCTCTAAGGAGTAATTATGTATCAACAGATGGGCATTGACCTAAATCCACATGGACAAGTACAGTACGGTCAGTGCCACTGCTACCCAAACACGACCAGATTCATCCTGACCCTTAACCGTTCCTGTTCATCTCGAAGGAAACCTAATCCTTTATAATGGTCAGTGGGGATACACATGGAAGCTCCAAGGGTCGTCTTGATATTTCCTCATCAGCCGTCATTTCTTGTCGAAAATACCTTGTCTTTTGGTCGATAGGAACATTGCAAGTGCTTTAAAGTCTATCACGTAAAACCTCAGACAGAGTTGATATACGAGCTCATTTACCATGCACACATTTGCAATGTGTTCTGTGAACATGTGTGTCAACTTGTTAGGTTAGGTTTGAGTCGGAAAATGTGTGAAATTAGTGGCATTGATTATGGATTAAGTGATCAATGTCCCATTAACATCCGTCTGTCAAGATTCGGGGAAAAAAAAGAAAGTTAATCTGTGTTCGTTTGTGACTATGTGTGAGAGGCAAAGTTTCTAAAACTAGACATGGAATGCAAACACTCGATACTTGTGATTTACTCAATTGAAACATCGTATCCCGGTATTATTTGGTTTTCTGATGAAATATCATGTCGCTAAAGACCTCTTCGTCAAAATCATTTTTAATGTCTGTTGATGTCTTTGGGGTGCAGTTTCATCAAAAAAAATGTTAGTGATTGCAATCAGCGTCTGGCATTGTGGTTGTCGGTAAATGTCCACAGTGCACCTAAACTGCCCTGCAAAGGAAAGTATTCAGTTGATACTAGTAATTGAATTTAACTAAAAGATTACAAACGCCGCTATCATGACGTTACTAGGCTGTACACCGTCGCTGTAACACTGCGAACCTAAGGTCCAAAGTACTATTTTGATACCCATATCAGTGAATAAGTGAGTATGGTTTTACGTCGCTTTTAGCAATATTCCAGCAATATCACGTCGGGGACACGCATATCAAGTACATCAACATCGAATAACCATTTATTGTTTGTTTATTTTCG